GTAATTATATTTTAATTACTATTTAATACAAAAAAATTAAGGATAAAGTGCACAAAATAATTAATTTCTACTTATTAAGTGTTTTGTGAAATCATTTGGGTGTCTTAATTAAATTTCTCATGCATTATACGAGTAACTTTTACAAAAAATTTAAACAAGGCACACAAAATTCACGTATTATATACATATTCTCACATATTATTGAATTAAAATAATATATTTTTTTTTAAACCGTACAGCCGAACGGCTACACTCAGTTTTACCATAATTGTCTCTAAACATAGTATAGCCGTTCGGCTCTACCTGTTTGACACGTGGCGCACAAGCGCTGGGGCCGGGCTATACCAGATTCTATTTTTTTTTGTTCTGGAAAAAGAATAGCCGGCCGGCTATACTCGTTTGACATGTGGGGCTATACTCTGGGCTGATCTTTTTTATATGGGTTAATGACCTAAATAGTCCCCCAACTATCGCGCAATTATCATTTTGGTCCACCAACTAAAATTTTCAATTCAAACGTCCTTAAAGTTTTTATAATGTACCAAAATCGTCTTTCCGTCAAAGTATGTGTATTATTCCGTTAAATCGAGGGACAAAACCGTATTTTTAGGTGAGTATATTTAACGGAATAATACACAGACTTTGACATAATGACGATTTTGGTACATTATAAAAAGTTTAAGGACGTTTGAATTGAAAATTTTAGTTAGTGGACCAAAATGATAATTTCGCGATAGTTGGGGGACCATTTAGGTCATTAACCCATTTTATATTATAAATAGTATAGCCAAACGACTATATTGTTTATTAAATATAATTTTTAATTTTTTTAATTTTAAAAAATTTTCAGCATATAAAATTAGTGTCTTTACTCTTTTTTTGGGCCTACTTCTTTAATTTATTATGTGTAATTAAGTAATGTCTTATCCTTCTTGAATTACTTTAATTACTATTTAATACAGAAAAAAAATTAAGGATAGAGTGCACAACATAATTAATTTCTACTTATTAAGTGTTTTGTGAAATCGTTTGGGTGTCTTAATTAAATTTCTCAGGCATTATACGTGTATTTTTTACAAAATATCAATAAAGGGCACAAAATTCACGTATTATATACATATTCTCACATATTATTGAATTAAAATAATACATATACTTTTAAAGCAGTATAGCCGCACGGCGATACTCAGTTTTTCCTTCATTGCTTTTAAGAATAGTATAACGGTCCGGCTCTACTTATTTGACACGTGGCGCATAGCGCTAGGCCCGGGATATACTCGTTTGACACGTGGGCCTATGCTCTGGGCTGGTCTTTTTTATATTATAAATAGTATATTCAAACGGCTATACTGTTTATTAAATAAAATTTTTAATTTTTTTGTTTTAATTGTTTTTTAATTTTTTTAATTTTAAAAAATTTTCAGCATATAAAATTAGTTTCTTTACTCTTCTTTTTTGGGCCCTACTTCTTTAATTTATTATGTGTAATTAATTAATGTCTTATCCTTCTTGAATTACTTTAATTACTATTTAATACAGAAAAAAAATTAAGGATAGAGTGCACAACATAATTAATTTTTACTTATTAAGTGCTTTGTGAAATTGTTTGGGTGTCTTAATTAAATTTCTCATGCAACGTACTCGCAATTTTTACAAAATTTCAAAAAGGCACACAAAATTCACATATTATATACATATTCTCACATATTATTGAATCAAAATAAAACATATAATTTTAAAGCAGTATAGCCGACCGGCTATACTCAGTTTTTCTTCATTTCTTTTAAAAATAGTATAGCCGACCGGCTCTACTTGTTTGACACGTGGGCCTATGCTCTGGGCTTTTCTTTTTTATATTATAAATCGTATAGCCGAACGGCTATACTGTTTATTAAATAAATTTTTAATTTTTTATGTTTTAAAAAATTTTCAGCATATAAAATTAGTGTCTTTACTCTTTTTTTTGGGCCTACTACTTTAATTTATTATGTGTCATTAAGTAATGTCTTATCCTTTTTGAATTACTTTAATTACTATTTAATACGAAAAAAAAATTAAGGATAGAGTGCACAACATAATTAATGTCAACGTATTAAGTGTTTTGCGAAATCGTTTGGGTGTCTTAATTAAATTTCTCATGCATTATACTCGTATTTTTTTACAAAATTTCAATAAGGCACACAAAATTAACGTATTATATACATATTCTCACATATTATAGAATTAAAATAATACATATACTTTCAAAATAGTATAGCCGCATGCCTATACTCAGTTTTTCCTTCATTGCTTTTAAAAATAGTATAGCCGTCTGGCTCTACTTACTTGACACGTGGCTCACAGTGCCGGGGACGGGCTATACTCGTTTGACACGTGGGGCTATGCTCTGGGCTGGTCTTTTTTATATTATAAATAGTACAGCCGAACGGCTATAATGTTTATTAAATAAATTTTTTAATTTTTTTTGTTTTAAAAACTTTTCGGCATATAAAATTAGTGTCTTCACTCTTTTTTTGGGGCCTACTTCTTTAATTTATTATGTGTGATTGAGTAATGTCTTATCCATTTTGAATTACTCTAATTACTACTTAATACGAAAAAAAATTAAGGATTGAGTGCACGACATAATTAGTTTCTACTTATTAAGGGTTTTGTGAAATCGTTTGGGTGTCTTAATTAAATTTCTCATGCATTATACGTCTATTTTTTACAAAATTTCAATAAGGGACACAAAATTCACATATTATATACATATTCTCACATATTGTCGAATTAAAATAATGCATATACTTTTAATATACTCAGTTTTTCCTTCATTGCTTTTAAAAGTAGTATAGCCGTCCGGCTCTACTTGTTTGACACGTGGCGCACAGCGCTGGGCCCGGGCTGTACTCGTTTGACACGCGGGCCTATGCTCTGGGCTGGTCTTTTTTATATTATAAATACTATATTCAAACGGCTATACTGTTTATTAAATAAAATTTTTAATTTTTTTTGTTTTAAAAAATTTTCAGCATATAAAATTAGTGTCTTTACTCTTTTTTTTGGGCCTACTTCTTTAATTTATTATGTGTAATTAAGTAATGTCTTATCCGTTTTGAATTACTTTAATTACTATTTAAGACGAAAAAAAATTATGGATAGAGTGCACAACATAATAAATTTCTACTTATTAAGTGTTTTGTGAAATTGTTTGGATGTCTTAATTAAATTTCTCAAGCATTATACTCGTATTTTTTACAAAATTTCAAGAAGGCACACAAAATTCACGCATTATATACATATTCTCACATATTATTGAATTAAAATAATACATATACGTTCAAAATAGTATAGCCGCACGCCTATACTCAGTTTTTCCTTCATTGCTTTTAAAAATAGTATAGCCGACCGGCTCTACTTGTTTGACACGTGGGCCTATGCTCTGGCCTTTTCTTTTTAATATTATAAATCGTATAGCCGAACGGCGATACTGTTTATTAAATAAAATTTTTAATTTTTTTTGTTTTAAAAAATTTTCAGCGTATAAAATTAGTGTCTTTACTCTTTTTTTTGGGCCTACTTCTTTAATTTATTATGTGTAATTAAGTAATGTCTTATCCTTTTTGAATTACTTTAATTACTATTTAATACGAAAAAAAATTATGGATAGAGTGCAAAACATAATTAATTTATACTTATTAAATGTTTTGTGAAATCGTTTGGATGTCTTAATTAAATTTCTCATGCATTATACTCGTATTTTTTACAAAATTCAAGTATTATATACATATTCTCACGTATTATCGAATTAAAATAGTACATATACTTTTAAAGCAGTATAGCCACGCGGCTATACTCAGTTTGTCTTCATTGCTTTTGAAAATAGTATAGCCGTCCGGCTCTACTTGTTTGACACGTGGGCATATGCTCTGGGCTGGTCTTTTTTATATTATATAGTGTAGCCGTTCGGCTATACTGTTTATTAAATAAAATTTTTACATTTTTTTGTTTTATAAAATTTTCAGCATATAAAATTAGTTTCTTTACTCTTGTTCCATTGCCCCAAGGCCCATGGCCCAAATCTTTGATTAATATAATTATTATTAATGAAAGCCATGCCCATAGCCCAGGCTATTTGCTCAACTCCCCAGTGTTAACCACACTTGCTTGACTATCATAGTGCTTTGTTTATAAACACCTTTATAGGAGTTTGTATTTTCGATGTGGATCTTTCACAAAAGGCACCTCAAAAGGTAGGCCTACAGAGAAATCTATATTTTTATTGTTGGTGCAATGTGAAAATATATTTAAAGCCCTTCAAGGTTTACGTGACACATCTGTAAATGCCCTTCAAGGTCTTGAAGGACTGTCAACTGCAACCAACAAGAACAATGAGGATCATAACTTTCGTAATCTCGTTCAATTGTATGGATATCAAAATCATTATGGTGAGACTTTTGGGAAGTAATACTAGACAGGAAAAGTACCCTTGCTACAGGCATAATTGACGGGTCACCAGCAGCAAGCCAGCAAGCAATACTAATGGAAATAGTTCTCACAATTTTTCAATTGCTAACACAGGATTCTGATCTAGTGGACTCGGCGGAGAAGATAAAACAGGTAAAAGAAAAGAGAACAAGAAAATCCAGAAAAAAGACCATGACACAAAGCAACTAGCATATGTATGAGCATAACACATAAAAAAACAAAACTAAATACCAACCAGATGATCAGCAGAGGCTGCATAAGCATATGTTAAAAGTTTTTAAGTAGCAGATTATTCATTTCCATAACAACCAAGACTCAAAAAGTAAGTAACCACAAATGACGAGAGGGGACCATACTTGAATGATTTGACAGACATACTTTCTAGTTTCTAGCAATCTATCTTGGTGAAGAGATGCATCAAATGAAAAACCATGGGTGAAAACCAGTGAACTCACTATAGGACTGTTCCATATTTGAAAGGAAATAGACTCTTGCTTTTTCCATATTAGAGAAGCTAGTTTAGAGAAAATTCAATCTGGTGAAGTGACAAAATGTGTTCCAGCACATACCTTCCCGTGCACATCTGATGCCAAACCAGTGGCCAACGGTTCTGCTCTTATAAGAATGTCTGCTAGATTGAGCACGACTAAGGAACAACCCTGCGATAAGAAGTAACAAACATTTTAAGCCAACGAGATTATCAGCATACTTTAAAGTGCAAAACAAGTAACAAACAAGGTGAAGAGTAGTAAGGAAATCCACAAGGAAAAATATTGTAACAAGCTCTGCGAGTTCATACTTGAACTGCATCAAGTGGTATCAGAGCGTCTTTTCTGCATTTTGCATCCTTTCCTGAGTTTAAAGCAAAGAGCTCTCATGGCAGATGCTGCACGTGCCCTGGACAAAGCAAAAATGATGCCGCACGGCTATACTTTCTAATTACACTCGAATATTTTGAAAGTACAGCCAAACGGCTATACTCTTTAAATGTATTCCACCGAACCCGAAGCTTGCACTCGCAGAGGACAGAACTTTCTCTCCCAGTCAGTGCTTCGTCCTTCAAGTTCGGCACCCAAAAAAGACCCAACCCGCCTAGGCGCCCTCCTAGCGACCCCTAGCCGCCTAGCCACCGCCTAGCCGCCTAGAGACCGCCTAGCCGCCTAGGCCAGCCCAGCCACCGCCTAGCCGCCTAGCGCCCGCCTAGCCACCGCCTAGCACCGGCCTAGCAGCCTAGCGCCCGCCTAGCCACCGCCTAGGCCGACTTTTCCGTTCTCGCTCTCCAGCATCCAAACGCATTCTCTCTCTCCCCTTGTCGTCAAGGTTTGTTGCCTCTGTTCATTCATTGTAAATTTTAGGGGTTTTAATTTGTTTAAACATGCTCTTCACAATTGTCGTAAATCAGTAGAAAATGTGCTCTTGAATTTTGTTAAGATTATATTGAGAGCCTAATGTTGGATTTTGAGATTGTAGTTTAGGAGAGCATTACGTGACTTTTCATGTAGGGAAGGGAAGTAGCATAATGACTTCAGGTTTTCGTGTTATGGCGCAACACCTTTATAAGGTCATACAGAGTCTAGCTAATCTAGTGCAACAGTATTTTAGGCTGGATGGGACACCAGGCAGTTTTTATGAGTACACCAGGCAAGTAAAGGTTTCATCGGAAATACTTCACAAGGGAAGTGTGGGACCACAAGGAATTGAAGTTCATGAAGTTGGTACAGTTGGTATAGAGGAGCTACGAGTGCATTTTACTCCTTACTTGTGGCCTGTGAGCTCTGTATAAAATTTGTGCGGAGTCTAAGATGAAGCATCATTATCAAAGTCTCTACTCTGAAGTTGACTTCTTATTTTGAGTTTGTGGACAGTCATAGTATTTGTGAACAGAAAATAGCGATCTAAATTCTAACTACCAAGTGAGAAGAAAATCTTGGAACTTAAGAGGTGAAGACCAAGAGTGATTGACAGTGGATCATTATCTAGAGATCTATTTGATTTTGCCTACATTGCAGGCAGAAAATAAAAAAGGCCAATCGTATTGGGAGAAGCATGCATGCCTCAAGCCTGGCCAGGTGTCTCACATAATGAGTGAGTGTCCTTTCCTTAGGGATGTTGATAGCTAAGCCTCATCATCGTACATGCCCTTATTTATCTTTAACTAGTCTTCCTTCGGTTATAGGTACATTTGGTGGTCTATGTTGTACATGTTCCTATCACATTAACTTCTGTTAACTTCTCACTAACAGGGTTCACTCTCAGTGTTTTTCTATATTGTATTGATTTTTAGTTGTCCTTTTGAAGTCACTCCTACCATCCATATTAATATTTTCATTCCCGCTACATGGTTGTGTTGCTCTTATGCGTGTCTAACACATTGCAGGCAGAAAATAAAAAAGGCCAATCATAATGATTTTGCCTCCCCGATATAAATTATAAACGTACAGCCGCACGGCTATACTTTCTAATTGCATTCGAATATTTTAAAAGTACGGCCGAGCGGCTATACTCTTTAAATATATCCGAAGAACACGAAGCTTGCACTCGCAGGGGACGGAACTTTCTCTCGCAGTCACTGCTTCGTCCTCCGGGTTCGGCACCGAAATACCCAACCCGCCTCGGCGCCCGCCTAGCTACTACCTAGCCGCCTAGCCGCCTAGCCTCCGCCTAGCCGCCTAGCCGCCTAGCCGCCTAGCCGCCTAGCGCCCGCCTAGCCTCCGCCTAGCAGCCTAGCGCCAGCCTGCTGAGTTAATTAGGCTTTTTGTGGAGGCACTAGGAGGTAACATAACTGGTTCAGATAGGAGGATCCTGTTTCGCTGTGGGGTAAGTTTTATTTTCCTTCGTAGTGCAATGAGAAATATGAAATTGTGATGCCGATCAATATTGAGTATATATAGTATCGAGATTTGCCCTTTTACAGATATTTCTGAAAGATAGTGAAAATAACCTGAATAGGCTTTACCAGATTTGCCACAATTCTGGTGTGATAAGGTTCCATCATTCTGGTGTGTTTTTTTAATGTTTTGGTGGTATGATTCATTGGTCTGCCCACCTGGGGCCGTTGCCCATTGGAATACTTGTTTGTCAGGTCATTTGTGTGAGTTGTGAACTTGTGAAAGTAAATCCAAACCCGCGTACTGGTCATTTTTTCAAGTTGTTTGAATTATGGATTCTAAAGATGATACATAGACAACAAGTAGATCCTTTATGAATTTTAAAAGACTTCTTTAATTTTCCGGAAAGTTGACTACTGAAGAATTTCAATTTCCCCCTTCCCCCAAAACTGAATACCTCCAATACCCAAGCCAATTAGGTTTCCAAATTCGAAATGCTACTACTGCCCTAGACCCATAAATTAGTTGCTGTCAGATTTCATAAGAACCTATTTTCTTGAAACCAGTTGTTTGTTTTCCCTTTAAAACCAAATCCTCTGAAGCATACCTAAATTTCTCTACCTCCAGTGCCAAAAGTTATACAACTTGACAAACCTTAAAGCCCACCAAATTCAAAATATTATTTTACTTATCAATATCAATAGTGATAAGATGGTCCTTAAATCAAGTTTGGCTACGCGTTATAATTCACTGTAAATCTGGTAAACCCCTTGACAAGAACGTTAAAGCCGCATGTTGTTTGTTTATGAACTAATTGTTATCTACGTATTATTCTAGTCAATGATCAAAATTTTATATTTCTCACAGTTACCAAGCATCAGTGACTTTCTCTTCCTCAACTCCCGTACAACTTCATGGAAGATTATGAGGTAATTGTGCCTTTTCAGTCTCTTCAAGCTCTAGGATGCCATGTTGATGCAGTTTGCCCCAAGAAGAAAGCTGGTGAAATCTGTGCAACTGCTGTCCATTATTTTGAAGGTGACCAAACATACAGTGAGAAGCCGGGCCATAATTTCACTTTAACAGCTGACTTTGAAGCTCTATATGTCTCAAGTTATGACGCTCTTGTAATCCCTGGAGGTCGAGCCCCAGAATATTTGGCATTGGATGAGAAAGTTATTGCATTAGTGAAGCAAATTGTGGAAGCCAGGAAACCAATTGCATCCATCTGCCACGGGCAGCAGATTTTAGCTGCTGCTGGTGTTCTACAGGTAAGTTTACTCTCTTTAAGCCAGGCTACGCCTTTGTTTCCAGAAATTTTATTCATATTCTATAGCCGAGCGGCTATACCTTTAACATATTATATTTATACAGTATAGCCGCGCGGCTATACTCTTTAATAATTCTATTTATGCCTCACGGTTCAAAACAAGTCTATTTTTAAAATAGAAAAATTTAAAACACTGAGTATATATATATACATAGTGGGATCCTTTTTTTCTTTAAATTTTTTCTCCAATTTTCATTTATCCATAAGAGTAGTTTATAACATTATCCATTACTATCTGGCTTGGATAGGAAACCGATCTAGGTAGTTAATGGCAAGGTATGGTTTGAAAGGGTCAAGGTTGCAGACCAATATGCAAGAAGAGAGAAATTAATTGAAGAAACAGAGCTCACAAGTATTCTTCTTTCTATTTCATTTTTTTACCTGTAAAACAAGACAAATGGCTTATGTGGCAAAGAGATTTCGAGCAACTTAAGGAATTTTGTGAGGGCATGTTGTCAGATTCTAAGGCAAAGAGATTTAGAAGACCAAACTCATCCATTCTCTGCTTGGTATTGTGTTTCAAGTGAATTTGTTTATGAAGTCTGTGTACAAATAGAGGAGGTCAAGGAGAGGACATTGGAGATGTACGTCTTCACCTTCACTCCCCTCAGTAGTAGATAAAAAGAATATTTCTTTAAAAGATATTCCTAGTTGAAACCATCTATTTTCTACTTTTATATGTATAATCTCGTACCGCATGAGAAAAAAATACTAATTGATAATTGTATTTGCTTATCTATGACAACATTCACATGTGTCGTTAATTTTTTGAATAGGACTTTCTGTTTACCGATCTAATAAGAAATTCTATCGTTATGTGACCATTTCCAAATATGGCAAAGGATTCCAAAATTATAAAACACTGCTCAAATGCCCAAGAATCATATCCATACTAAATTTGGTTTTATCTTGGCAGCAAGGTGAAGATCATACATGAAATGAAACAAAACATGAAATATCACCACATAAGGTCCAAATATCACCACATGAAACTAACAAGAACAGCAGAACCATTCTCAATACATTGTTAACTGCCTATTTAACTAAGGACGTTAATTTTTATTTTTTTTTAAAAGGACTAATGATATTCCTTTGCACTGTTAAGGGCCAGCTTTTCAATTTCTCTTTCAGGTTGCCTTTTTGATCCAAAGATGAAGTCTTTCACACAACCTTCAGAAGACTCTGTCGCCCTCTTAATCTGCCATCACAACTTTGTGCCATTAGCCTTTGAAACACTTAACGTACACCAAGTACAGAAACTATTCAACAAAACCGATATCTATCAAAAGAACCTATGACAATCCCCAATTACCAATGAAGAAATTGAAAGTTTTCTAAGACAGAGGAAAAAGGAACATGAACACACAGAATAATCTTAGCTCACCTAAAGGCATCCTGCGTATGATATAGATGGAGAGACAAAACATGCTTCACGTTAAACAATCTAGTCTTTAACTACCTAATAATACCTCAGCAATAATCTTAGCCATAATCTGCTTCAAAGGCCAAGATGTTATCCTCACAGACAGAAACAACAAATTTTTAAAAAAGACAATCAACAGAACCTCTAGCAGGCAAGGTACTTTGCAATAACGAATTCCTTTCATGTCTGCACCTATTTCTAAATTCTATGGAAAATTTGTCACTATTCCATTGAGCATCATATGGTTCTAGTTTCATGAACACTCCTACAAGCAGTCCACTACACAAACTGGTTCACATTATCATTTTGATAATGAGATATGGCAACAGGAGAGACGTCGTATAACAAAATCAGTTCAAATCACATAACCCAAATTTGGTCCCCAACTAGCAACTCAAGTTCAAGCCCAAAATCTAAAGACCCCAAAATTTTGAACTAAAAGCGCAAACAAGAAGAGAAAATTGTAACCCCAAGACTAATTTTCATTTTCTCCCAACCATTTCTTAACAAGATCCAGTAGTAATTTTACAGAAAGAAATCACCTGAAGAACAAAGAACATACAGGGTCCAGAGCATTGGGCTCAAAGCCATAATCAGCAGCCAAAGAGTAAAAGTACAGACTTTGACACTTGTTCAAATCTATATATTGAGAGGAAAACAAATATGAACTTTTCTTAACCACTTGAGTTACAAGCCTTTTGAATATATATTGTTTCTCACATTACTTATTTCCCCAAATCACAATTTGGCACATTTGTAAAAATAATTTTATCAACAACACAAAGAAAATTATTTGCACACCTATCAAACTGAATTTGGCAGGAAAATAGGAGGCAAATTCCCACCATAAAAGCTTGAAATACTTAGCCAAATGATTGGTAAGCAGAACAATGGCCATGTTGCATTACTTTCCAAAATGCCTATAGACCATTTACTATTCAAAACCAGATATTAAGAAACTTGAAAGGAAAATGCAGGGGCTGTATATCTCAGTTGCATACGAGCAAATCATGTTAATGAATCACAAAACTGCAACTCAATCAGTTTCATCAGCTAGTTTCCCTCCAGCATTCATGGGTAAAGAGAAATCTCATATACCTGCAATGCATCATGTATCCTGCTGCCACTGGTTTGACTCAAAAGGAAGCGGAGAGGGTGAGCCTTGGCTTGGCTATAAATAAAATATGTTAAGTGGTATAGCCGAACGGCGATACTGTTTATTAAATAAAATTTTTAATTTTTTTTGTTTTAAAAATTTTCAGCATATAAAATTAGTGTCTTTACTCTTTTTTTTGGGCCCACTTCTTTAATTTATTATGTGTAATTAAGTAATGTCTTATCCTTTTTGAATTACTTTAATTACTATTTAATACGAAAAAAAAATTAAGGATAGAGTGCACAACATAATTAATTTCTACTTATTAAGTGTTTTGTGAAATCGTTTGGGTGTCTTAATTAAATTTCTCATGCATTATACTCGTATTTTTTACAAAATTTCAAAAAGGCACACAAAATTAACGTATTATATACATATTCTCA